GTTTTTAGGCTACGATTAGGTATTAATGATATTACAACACGTGTTATAACGATTATCATATCATATTGAGATATATACTAGTGAAAAGATGAAAATATATAACAATTAGTACAAATATTCATTGTGTTATTGTTTATTTTGTTTGTTTTATTTAATTTTTCTGTGTTTTAGTTGAATGTTGGAATATATTTTCAAAATTTGTGTATGGGGAGTTGCCTAGGTAAGATGCTCATTTCTATGTATTATATAAAATGTGTGTTTAAGATTGCCTACGATAAACATGCAAAATTTAAAATTTTTAATAACTTTTGCTTAATTTAAAGAGTTTTTAAGCAGTTTTTAATTAAATATCGTCTAATTAAATGAAAAACCTGTTTTTCCTAATAAAATATCACTAAATACAAACCAAAAACACAAAAAATCACATTTTTTTCTTCGAATTTAAAACGATGCATACAAAAGCGCTTTTAAAATTATCGCTGTCGTTATCATTCCGCAAAGGAAGTAGTCTCCCCAATTGTGTAAATATATTTGCAGACAATAAAAAGTTTATATCACTTTAGCAAACGATGATTCATAACTTGATGTTTACTGCCAATTACCACAAAAAAGTCCGACAACCAGTCTGTCCCTACTCGGAATTGGAGGAGGTCATAAATTGTACTTCACATCAAAATACTAGTTTGTAAAATGTGTGATCAGTCAACAGTTGAAACACAAGTTTCTCTCGTAAACATGCGAGTAAAACCGGCAGAAACCCAATCTCTGAGTGAAAAACTCGAGAAATGCCAGGAATGGCTGGAAAATTGTACAATTAACGAAAATCAATCGATTTGTAGTGAGTGTCAAACCGAAAGTGACTCGAACTTTGATTGTTCATCAACAGATTACAGTGAATGTTCATCACAGTCGCAGATTGTTTCCAGGACAGACAGAATAACAACTATTGATAATAATAAATGTGTAAGTTGAAAAAATAAAAAATAAAAATTTAAATTAAATAATTTTAAATGTTTTAATGCTTTGTCGATTAATAATAAACAGTTAGAATCGATAATTGGACAAAATCAGAATGTTTATGAGAATATAATCGTTAATAAGTCGAAAAGAGTTCACTTAGGTAATGTTACAGTGATTAACGGACCGATTTACATAAAAGAATCGCAAAAAACAAAGAAAAACGAAGATATTGTGAGTGATGTAAAGCTTGAACATCTTAAATTAGCTGAAGGTACTGTATATGAACTATTTGTTTAGTTTAAATTATTTAAATTGTTTTTGTGGTTTTATTTATAGCTCATATTCGTTGGGTTGATAGACGTGCGTGGTTAGCGCAACCGCAAGTTGAGGAATACGAAAAACTACAGAAACCAGCTAAATATGTTATTATTTGTACGTAAATCAACAAAAATAATAGACATAACTGAACCTAAATAATTTTTAGGTCACTCTGCAACAGAGGACGCTAGTACCCATTGGGATAATATTGTATTAGTGCGTCACATCCAACAATTCCACATAGAATGCCGTAAATGGTCTGATATTGCTTATAATTTCATGATTGCTTGTGATGGTTATACTTATAAAGGTAGAGGATGGGGTATACGCGGTGCACATTCATTCAGGTACTTTTTTATAGTCAAAAATTAATTTTTTTATAATTTTGTTAGGTATACAACCAAAATTACTTCTAAATATGCCTAAGTTATAAAAATTAATGTTTTTCTTGTTTTATCTTTTAGATATAATGCAATCTCAGTAGGTATTTGTTTTGTCGGCACGTTCTGTACAAAACTACCCCCGCAAATCGCGCTGGAACAGGCGAAAGGACTGATCAGATACGGCGTTGAGCAAGGCGAAATCGACAAGGATTNNACTGATCAGATACGGCGTTGAGCAAGGCGAAATCGACAAGGATTACGCCTTAATTGGAAATTGTCAGGTCTCATCGTCGAAGAGTCCCGGCGAGTGCCTGTTCGAGGAAATCCAGACTTGGGATCATTACGACCCGAGTATTACTCTAGAAAATCCTTCATCTTTAATCGAGGCTGCGTAAAATGAAAAAAATCTCAAAATCACAACAAAACAAAAAAAACTAAAAGTTATTTTTATTTTATAGTTGGTATTTTGCAACTATTTTGAAACTATGTCTAGGGACACAACATCAATAAAAACTAATTTTGCAACAATTAGTCGCGCATAATTAAAAAACGTGCTCGAATTGGCGGCCACAATGTACGCGACACATTC